AGGGCGATCAAATGGCGATTGGGGGTCGATGCGCCCCCGCCTCAGCGCAGCCCCCCTTGACGTTGCCCCTGACGTGTGCAATGCCGCGACGTCGTCCTCGGGCCAGGGGCGGGGGGCCGACGCCCGCGCCCCGCGCCGCGCTCAGGGCGTCCATGGTGTTGCTGGCTGGTAGCGCGGCGCCTACATTGAGCGGGTTCACGTCGCCGACCAGCGGGGCCAGGAGCTGCTCAAGGGGCGCGTCGCCCGTGGGCGTCGGTGTTGGGCAGCGCCCAGGCAGGGCGCGCGTGGTGCGCACCGGCATGTCGTCAGGGCGGTCGTTGATCTATCCCTTGGAGTCCCGGCCGCCCCCCCGGCGGCCCGCGGAGCGCGGCGCGTCCTGGCCGGCCCGCGGCGCCCGCGGAGCGCGCCGGGCCCCGCGGCTTGCCGCTGCTAGGGCCTCCTCCGCCTGCGGGGCGGGCGGGGGCGGGCTGGTCGTCGTCGTCGTCGTCGTCGTCGTCGTCGTCGTCGTCGTCGTCGTCGTCGTCGCTGCCGCCGTCGCCGCCGCCGCCGCCGCCGCCGTCGTCGTCGTCGTCGTCGTCGTCGTCGTCGTCGTCGTCGTCGTCGTCGTCGTCGCTGCCGCCGTCGCCGCCGCCGCCGCCGCCGTCGTCGTCGTCGTCGTCGTCGTCGTCGTCGTCGTCGTCGTCGTCGTCGTCGTCGTCGCCGTCGTCTACGTCGTCGTCGTCGTCGTCGTCGTCGTCGTCGTCGTCATCGGCTGCGGCGGCGGCGGCGGCGGCGGCGGCGCGCGGACGGGCGCACGGGCGAACGGGCGGGCAGGCGGGCGCGCAGGCGGGCGGGCGCACGGGCCAGCGGGCGGGCGGGCGGTCGCGCGGGCGAGAGCGGGCGGCCGCGCAAGCGAACGGGCGGGCGCGCGAGCGCGCAGGCGGGCGGGCGGGCGAAATGGCGGGCGCGCGGGCGGGCAGGCGCGAGTTTCAAAGGGACGGACAAGGTCTGGAGGTTTTGGGCGAAGCGCGGAGGACGACGACGAGGACGACGACCAGGACGAGGATGACGAGGACGGTGACGAGATGACATAAGTGACATATGAACCATATGACAAACTGCATCAAAGCACACCCAGGATAACCAGCCTGGCGCAGAACCCAACCACATGCAGCTGGGAGCACCGCAAGGTCTGACCCTGTCGGCTGAGCTCGTTTTTAACGTTTATTAAGGAAGAAATGAGATGGGTGCACACAGGAACTTTGAAGGTTTGTGCTGTTTTTTGCCGATCGGCGCTGGAACCCCTTGACTAGCACACAGAGCGCACGGGGGGCGGCGCTGGAGGCGCCGCGGAGAGGAGTCCAACGCCGATCCACGAATTCCGCGCGGACCTTCCACAAATTATGCTGATGATTCTTCCGCCCTCCTGCGTGGGGATTTCGTTTGTTTTGGATAAAACATTGGGGTCGCGTTTCCTTCCTCGCGCCTCCCTCCTCCTCCTCCTCCTCCTCCTGCTCCCTCCTCCTCCTCCTCCTTCTCCTCCTCCTCCTCGTTCTCCTTATCCTCCTCCCCTCCCATCTTGCAATATTTTCCCCATACGTCCTGCGTTGGGTTCTCGCCACTTTCGAAAGCTGCCGGGGGGGCCAGCGCCGCGACGTCCTTTGCAGGCCCAGATTAGACCTCGCGATCCATTTGGGCGCTGTGAATTTTGCGCAGGCTCAGATATGACCTCGCCATCCATGGGGGGGCTGCGAAATATGGAACTGTCGCCGCTTCCGCAGTCTGCTTGGGGGGGCCAGCACCGTGACGTCTTACGCCGGCCCAGATTAGACCTCGCCATCCCTGGGGAGGCTGCGGGATGTGAAATTGTCGCCACTTTCGAGGCTTGTTTGGGCAGCGACGTCCTGCGTGGACTCAGACTCGACCTCTCCATCCCTGTGGGCTGCGTCTTGTGAAACTGTCGCCATTTTCGAGCGTTGCTGTGGGTGGGCAACGCAATGACGTCTTACGCCGATCCGATTAGACCGCCACCCCTACGGGCGCTGCGACATGTGAAACTGTCGCCCATTCCGAGGGGTGCTGGCGGGGTTAGCGCACTGACGTCCGCCGGCTCAGATTAGATCTCGCTAGCGCTGGGGAGCTGCGAAGTGGGAAGCAGTCGCCACATTCGAGGGCTGCTGGGGGAGGTGGGCAGCACAGTGCCGTCTCACGCCGACTGAGATTCGACCTCGTCGAGGGCTGTTGGGGGGGCCAGCACCGTGGCGTCCCCCGCGGACTCAGATTAGAGCTCGATGTCCCTGGGGGGCTCGAGTCGTCGTCGACGCCAGGTGCAAGGACGCGGATGCATCTCTTTGCATTTTTTCTGATGCTTTCCAAATCCATAGCGGTCGGTCATCTCCTGATCATACAGGGCCCGGGCCTAGCGTTCCTTTCCCTCTGGCCGCCAGCGGGCATGAAGCCCGCTCGCCCGCGTTCAACTCCCGCGCTGAAGAGTGCAGGAAAGAGGCCGAGAGGCTGGCAGTGCAGCTATAGGCCTGCCGTTCTCCGCATGCCGCTGCCGACGTGTGGAAATGGCAGCGTTGCCCCCATCCCTCCCCCTGCCTCCGCTGCGAGGCGGGAACTCATCCATACCCGCCGCCCGGGAACCGACGTCCCGGGGACCCAGCGGGCTGTGGACACAGATCTCTGTTTAATTACCCTCGGGGGCCCGAGCCCATCCATGTCCACGGCCTGGGGAGGCCCGCGAAAGTCGATCCTCCGGGCGGTGGTTGCGTATACGCCCCCGTCTCGAATCCGTGGTCGTCTCGTCCTTTGCCCGCTTGCCCCTCCTTCCTTTGCTGCTGCTGTTTCGACGGCATATCGCCCTCCCCGGATCCCTCGTCTCCTCTTCGCTTCCGCCCCGTTTTCCTTCGGGCCAGGGCCGACCTCCGTCCATCCAGCCCCCGCCCCCCCCCTCGGTGTCCTGTGGGTCCCGCAGCGCCTACCCCCCCCCATGTGGCTCTCACGCCACATGTCGGTCCTCGCCACGACATCCTCAGTAATGGCTTTGGCCGACTGTTTTCTTCCCCCCCCTCAGGAGGCTCAAGGGCGCTGAGGCTTCATGGGCCACTCCAGAGGCCCCCAGACGGCACGGTGCAAGGCGGTCGTGCCTCGGCACGAGCAGTTCCGCCTCGGGCAACGAACAAGAGGCAGGGCGGCTCAATAATTTTGGCCGGCAGCTGGGGTCAGCATTTGTCGATGGGTTGGGTACGTCGCAGGGTTTTTTCTTCGGCAGTCGGCAAAGCTCGCTCCTAACGCCGAAGATGAAGAGGCTTCCTGTGCGCCGCTCGCCACACCCTCGTGCCCACTCACTGCGGGCCGCCTGCGACTGCGCGGATGGCATCGCAGCAGCGGTGCTCCGCACCGGAACTGTTCGCACCGCGGGGGAGATGCCCAAATTAAAAACAACGGACCGCATGCCCCGAGCCGCTAGGGGGGGAGGAGAAGGAGGAGGAGGAGGAGGAGGAAGAGGAGGAGGAGGGTGAGGAGGGAGACAGATCAAGGTGGAAGGAAAGCAGGGGAGTGGAGGAGTGAGCGGATCGGGGATACTTGGGGGGGCAAGGATGGGCTAGGGGGGGAGGGGCAGGGAGGAGAGGAAGGCGAGGGCCAGAGGGGGCCGAAGGGGATGACGAGGAGGGGTTGCCGTCAGGCCGGGGAATTTTCAGAGTACCCGCCACGGTGGGCAAGCCGTGCTGCCTGGGCCCACCCGCTCCGCTAGGGTGTACAGAGTGGTCAGTGGCACCTCCTGGTCTGAGGTGAGCGTTGCCAATGACGTTCGCGGAGGCAACGCCCCCCAACCATCCCGCTGCCGCGCACTCCCCTGTGCTGGCCGGGGTCGTGGGGGCCCTCCCGTCCCCCCCTAATTCGGTGCAGGTGGCCTGACCTGGGCACGGCGCGTTGGCGCTATAGGCGCTCGGTCAGCGCCCGCCGGACAAAAAAAAAGGATGACGAGGAGGGGGCAGTGGGAGGCAGGGGCGGCTGGGACGCGTTGGCGAGCCCCGGGTCGCGTTTGCGAGCCCTGGATGGCGGGGGGGGGGAAAGGGCCTCTGCAGCCGCATCAAATGGGGCGCCTTGCATCGGAGAACTGTCAGGGACGGCGGGGAGGCACGGGGGTGGGACTCGCGGGCGGGTCCGCGTCACAGCAGGCCGACTACCTCCAGCATGCTCTCTGCGACGTGATCCGCGAGGGAGAAGTCCTGGGCGGCGGTGTAAGGGTTCGGCACCGCCACGACCCTCATCCCAGCGCCCTTGCCAGCGTGCACACCGGGCAGAGAGTCCTCGACTACCAGGCACGCCTCGGGGGGCAGCCCAAGCGTCCGTGCTGCCAGTCGGTAGATCTCGGGGTCTGGCTTGAATCGGGTGACGTTGTCGTTCGAGACGATCACGTCGAAGTCGGCCAGCGTGCCGACGGCGCGCGACTGCGCGAGCAACAGGTTCGACAACTTTTGCCGAAGCGTGGCGCCCGAACTGGAGGAGGCGACCGCCACCCGGACACCATGGGCGCGCGCAGCCCAGTAGAGCTCGTCGAAGCCCTTCAGCAGCGGGACCGAGCCCGGCACGGCGATGATCTCCCCAAAGTTCCGCGTCCACCGGGCGTCGAACTCTTGCGCCGTGCAGCCGAGGCCGAACCTGGCCACGGCGATCGCGCTCCCGTTGCCCCGGCCCACGAAGTCGCGCCCCCAGGACTGGGGGCTCTGCAGCACGTCCTCGCGGGGGCCCTGGTAGTACTGCGAGGCCGCCCGGTTGAAGGCCTCCAGGTAGGCGGTCTCCGTGTCCAGGAGGGTGCCGTCGCAGTCGAAGATCACCGCCCCGACGCGGGCGCCCGCCCGCCCCCCCGCCGCTGCGAAGCAGCGCGTGGCCAGGGGGAGAGCCGCGCCCGAAAGGGCGGCGGCAGCCGCCAGGCGGCGGGTGCGCCGCGCTGGGCTGCACCCGGGCTGCCAGCAGCTCGCGGCGCTGCGTGCGGGCCCCGCGCTCCGCGGCAT